CGGGGTCGCCCCGCGGCGGGGTCGCGCGAGAGGCGGAGGGCCTCGGCCAGCCGACGGTGGGCCATGAGCGGATGTCCCCCCCCCCTCCAGCTCCCCAGGGTGGGGATAAGAGGGAGGCCCCGGTCGCGCCCAAGCTAGTCGTGGCCGTGAGTTCCGCGGGTCGACGTCGCTGGCCCCTTTCCCAACGCTCCTGGTCAAGTTCAAACAGTCGCCTAGGTAACGGACGCCGTGCCACCGTCCTCGCGCCCCCCGCCCCCTCAGGAATTATATTCGTGCTTCCCATTGGCTACAATTAGAAGCACCCGGTCCGCCCCTTGCTCGTTGATCTACTGGAATCGAATGGTGTTCTAAAAGCCCGGCCCTGAAGCGAGCCGATTGGCTGAGTTTGGCAGGGGGCCGTCTTCGGCTGCGTGATTGGCGGCTGGAACCGTGTCGAAGGTCATCTTCCCCCCCTCCGCAGCGCCTTTTTCCGCCTCTCCTCCATTTCCTGTCACAGAGACGAGGAGAACGACGTTCTTTGCCGTTTCCTTGTACTTCCGCTTCCGCCCGTCGTGCGAATGCCGGAAATGGAAGTGTTCGATCAGGGACACGACGAGACTTTCTCAGGAAGGGACTCAGAATCCCCGGAAGCGGGAAGGTCCGGGAGAGCAGCGCCCTCTGCGGCCCGCCAGGTCCTGCCGCTCTTTCTCCTCCGGAAGTGGGATTCGGAGGCCCCTGCAGGGAGTCTCGCCACCGGCCTTGAGGACCAGGGGCGGCCACGGGCCCCGTCGGATAAAACGTCCCCGGTCTTAACAAGACCCCAAGATCCGCGGCGGGGACTTCTTTCCACGACCCGTCCCAGTCTCGCGCAGTCGCCGCATCCTGTGGCAGCGAGTCCCGCAGGTTAACCCTGTCCGAGTGCCTTCGCTTGTCCCGGGGCCCTCTCCCCGCCTGCTTCACTGGGAGGGAGAGTCGTCGGGGGGGGGAAGGGGGGCGGCAGCAGCAGCTTCGGCATCAAGGAAGAGGGAAGGGCGAGGAGGGTGGGGGAAATGGGTCGCCTCCACAAACTTAAAAGACTGTTTGAGTAACTGTTGGGAATCCTGGTGTAGGGACCCAAAGTCTTCGGATTTTCTTAACCTTATTCTTTTCCAGGGAGTCTTCTCAGAAAGTGGGTAAAGACTGGCATCCTCAGGTTTTGTCTTTTTGCGTCCCCTCCAGTTTGTTTCTACTGAGTGTTCAGCTTTGATTGCATAAAGAAATCCCTTTTTGGTAATCCTCCAGGGTATCCACAAAACACCATAAAAAGATAAAGGTAAAGGTTCCCCTTGACATTTTCAGTCCAGTCGTGTTCCACTTTAGGGGGCGGTGCTCATCCCGCTATTCAAGCTGTAGAGCCAGCACCTGTCCGAAGACAGTTTCCGTTGCCCCGTGGCCAGCGTGACTAGGGAACGCCGTTTTTACCTTCCCACCGAGATGGTACCTATTTATCTACTCGCATTTGGATGCTTTCGAACTGCTAGGTTGGCGAGGAGCTGGGACAAAGCGACGGGAGCGCACTCTGTTGCGTGGATTCGATCTTACGACTGCTGGTCTTCTGACCCTGCAGCACAGGCTTCTGCGGTTTAGCCCACAGCGCCACCACGTACCTTTTACAAAACACCATCGTTTTCTTTTTAAAGAGATCCATTTTCCCTCCTGTCAGCTTCTGTCTAGCTTTCACACCTTACATGGTGATCATACAAGCTTGTGGATGATCTTTGCATTAAGTGTCCACTGATACATCCTTACACGTAAGCTTTTCCAGTTCCTTCATTGCTGCCCTCTGAGCCTCCGTCTTCCTCTGATTACATGGCTGCAATCTCCGTTTGGACCAGGGGTGGGCAATTAATTTCTATAGGGGGCCACATGAAAAATCTGAACAGTGTTTGGGGGTGGGTAGTAATAGGCCCCCATTGTGTGAGGCCCTGTGGTGAACAAACTACAAGGCTGACAGCTTTTTAGGGAGTTAACTATGTGAGCGTTGTAATTTGTTCACCACAGTGTGTGTGTGGGTGTGTGTGGGGGAAGATGGGGGATACCTGGCACAGAAAACACAGAGGGGAAAGGATCCTGGAATTGTCGTAGATTGCAAGCTAAATATGAGCCAGCAGCGTGATGTGGCTACAAAAAAAAAGACTAATGCTATTCTAGGCTGCATTAATAGAAGGATAGGTACCAATTCCTGTGAGGTGCTGGTCCCTCTCTATTCAGCACTGGTTAGGCCTCACCTTTTGTATTGTGTCCAGTTCTGGACACCACATTTCAAGAAGGATGCTAACAAATTGGAACAAGTACAGAGGAGGGCAACAAGGATGATCAGGAGGCTGGAAACCAAGCCTTATGAGGAAAGGTTGAAAGAACTGGGCATGTTTAGCCTTGAGAAAAGAAGACAGGGGTGATACGACAGCACTTTTCAAATATTTGAAAGGCTGTCATACAGAAGAGGTACAGGATCTGTTCTGGATCGTCCTGGAATGCAGGACACGCAACAATGGGCTGAAGTTAAAGGAAGCCAGATTGTGGTTGAATATCAAGAAAAACATCCTGTTAGAGCAGTACGACAGTGGAACCAATTACCTCCGGAGTTGGTGAGTTCTCCAACACTGGCGGAGGTAAGGTATCCTGGCAGGTATGCGTTGAGCAGGGGGTTGGACTTGACGGCTTTCTGGGCCCCTTCCAACTACACTTTTCTATGATTCTATGATCCTTTTGTCTATGGGAAACTATCATGTTTCTCCATATTGTTTTATAACAGTACCTTCTTACCCAAAGTATAGGTTATGCATTTTGACAATCAAATGTTAAGGCACCCATGTCTTTTGGAACAATCCATGCTTTCTCCAGATCCACATATTAATAGGCTTTGTTGTAAGTTTGTAAAGCACAGACTGATGTCTTCTAGAATTATTTGATACACTCCAGTGGCCAATTATATTTGCAATATGGTTTTTGGTACCTCTCTCCCAGAATTCTACTTGAACATTACATTGCTTGCATGATAAATAAATGGTATCATCCTATATTTACTGAACCCCTTGGTGTCTCCTTTCTTGGCAACTGGAATACACTTTTGCACTTTTCTAGTGTGGGGACCATTGTTCTGTTTTCTATATTTGTTGGCGATTTGTTAGGATTTTGATAGATTCAGTCTCTATAGCTTGAAATGGATCTACACCTGGTGATTTATTTCTTCTAAGTGCTTTGGGAGCAACTGTCACTTCCCTTATTAAACCTGCAAGTTCTTCATCACAGGATTCTTATTCAAAGGAATTTATCACTCTTGTATAGTTCTTCAGTATATTATTTCCACCTTCTCTTTATTTTTCCTGGTCTGATAGGATGTTTCCCTGTTGGTCTTTCTGCATTCCTAATCTAGGTTTAAATTTCCATTTGATTTATTGGGTCTTAGAGAATAAATTACTTGTTTTTCCTGTTTTGTTGCTTTTTTCTGCTTCTGTGAACAGATTGTTGAAACAGTTCTTTTGCCTCTATGTGATAATCCCTGAAAAATTACATCCGACCCTATTTCTGTCACCCTTTAGTCTTGCTTGTCACCTGCCCTGAACAATTTGAAGTATTCCTTCCTTTCATCAGCCAGCTGAATGTTTCTTTTGACTATGGGAACTTCTTTTTGCATTCTTTGCTGATAACAAGAAGAATACACAGGAAGGGAGCAAGCATGTCAACACACCTGCAAAGGCCACGGGGAGGCGCCATGCCAAGTCTTTTTCAAGCTATCTTTTTTTTAATAAGTCACAAATTCAAGAACTTCAACAACAAAAATACAACAATAGAAGGACGCAACACCCGTTTTACAGTTAGGTGACCCCTGGCACTGCTTCTTGGGGAGCAGATACCCCACAAGACATTGGGGTGAGGGGTGGGGAAGAAGAGGTATGGGTGAGAGCCAGGATACAAGGTGGGAGGGAGGGGAAAGGAGTGGAAACATCGAGTTGGCCCCATCCCAAGGCTAGAAAGAACAGAATCGATGCCTCGTGAGTGGTGGTGGTGGGGTGGCTCTTCTGAAGTGCTTCTTCTGGGGCAGTGGAACAGGCACAGCTACCTTCCTATTTCTCAGGCAGCCGGCATATGCCAGGAAATGGGGAGCAGCCTCTGTCCAAAGCGTAGCTGCAGAATTGAGAACTGAAATGGAGGTGGACATAGGGGAGGTGCCTGGTCAGCCTCCCACCTTTCTCAGGGAACATTCCTGGTGCTGCCCTCCTGCATCTGAGCATCGTCTCAGCCTGGGCATCAGCCCTTCCCTGCTACTTTGGCACATCATACCAAACAGGTCTAAATCCCAGGAAATGGGCCAGTCCCTTTTGTACATCTGGGCTCCATGGGAGCTCATTTGTTCTGGCACCTATTTGAGAAACTAGCTGAGGAGCAGCAGCAGCAGCAACAGCAAATACAGCAGCAGCATGGTTTCAGGGAACCACAAATGGTTGCAAGTGCACTCCTCAAAACAACTGTCTCACTCCTGGAAGCCACTGCTGGGCCCCTTTCACAAGACCCATGCCTTTCTGCACAGCTCTACGCCTCTGGCCTCCAAGAAGCAGGGCAGAGCTGCAGGAGAGGCCCTTAGGCCTCTTCTAAGTGCGATTTACTGGTCCCATCAGAGTGCCCTAGGTTCCCGCAGCGGCTCCAGCACAGAGCTATGCCCTACGCCCAAGTGAACGTCTCCTGTGGCCGGACTGTATTGATGCAGTGCCACAGGCGCAACTCTCCCCTTGCCAGGGGGGGCATGCCCCTTGGGCGCTTGCAGCTGGGAGCAGCAGGCAGTCCCTCTTCTAGATGGAGGTCTCATCGCACTTGGCCAAGGGGACCCCTGTCAGGTAGATGCGGGCTTGCTCTGTGGTGTCCAGCTCGTTGATGTAGAGATGATGAGGGTAACCATTCAGGGTGCCGTTCTTGCTGGCTGTGGCCAGCGGGTGTCGCTCATCTTCAGGGGAGCTGGGGGTCTGTGGCTCGTGGCTGCAGCTCGTGGTGGTGGACTGCATGAGATCCAAGCCATTCCGTTCACGGCAGATGAGCTCCTGCTGGAGGCGCTCCCGTCGCCGCCGCTCTTGCAGGAGGAGGCAGCCGCTGCTGACTATGACCCCCAGCACAAAGCAGAGGATTCCCACCAGGACGGTGTAGCTGCGCTCCAAGGATTTCCCCCTGGCATTCACCACGCGGTAGGCTGCCACTACCCTGCCCGCACCAGACTCTGTACACCGGCATGTGTATTTCCCCAACGTGGACGCTGCCACTGTGAATTCTATGCTGTCGCTACGCAAGACGTAGGCTGAAGGGTCCTGGGAAGGCCACTGCCACTCGCACCTGGACCAGGTGGACTGAGGGCTGCAAGGCAGGACCACCCGGGCAGAAAGCAGGGCAGGTACTTCAACCATAAGGGCCATCTCTGCCAGGAAGAAGACAAAAGGTCACTCACCGTCACCATTCAAGCGACCCGAGATTCAACCAGAACGTAATGGGTGGGTAGGTGGGTGTGCCAGCTGGGAGTGCTGGCCTTTGTCCTCCCTCTAGGAGGAGCTCTGCCCGGGAGATAACCCCTACCTTTGACATCACAAGGAATGGCCCTTTGGCGCAGCTAAGCTCCCCACCCACTATGGATTCATCTATAGCGGTGGGCCTCAACCTTGGTTAGCCCAGGTGTTCTTGGAAGGCAACCCCCAGAAACCCCAGCCATCCGAGCTAGTGGTGAAAGCTTCTGGGAACTGCAGTCCAAGAACACCTGGGTTTCACAAGGCTGGGAACCAGTGCTCTAGGTGGAGCACATGCTGGGACGCTCCTGGCGAGGCTGCATTCTCCAGGCCATGAGCTTTACCCATAGAACAAGACAAAACAGTGTGACTGAAGCAAAGTTGTAGGTTGCAAATGGAGATTGGTTCTGGAGTGGAAGCCAAGCTTAATCTCCTCATTAGAAAATTCCATTCTGGATTGCTAGAAAGCAAAAGCTCTGTGCAGGGGCCTCATATGTGGCTCCTGCAAAACTTGGTACAAAACAAAGCCTCCTTCATCATTCCTAACAAGACCCTCTCCCCTTAACTCTGGACCTGATCCTCCTCCTCTCCCAGGAACTGTGCATATGAAGGATATGCCTGAGATTGGTCCCTTTTATGAGTCCATTCCAACGGGGTCTCTCCAATTGCAGGGTCACACCCGATCGGTCTTTGGGCTGCAGGCAAGTTCACCTTCTCCTTCACCTTCAAGACCGAAGCACAGATAACAGGGGGCCTAGACTTCCCTCTCATCTCTGGCAACTTGTCAGCTTCCTGGCTCGTGTCCTTCTAGATCCCCAATTTACCTGGAGCCCCCTGTCCAGGCCATCCATGGCAATCCATCCCAAGGGCACTGCAGCTAAGTCAAGGAAGACCCTAAGGCAGCACTTAAGTGGCAAAAAAGTCCCTTGGATCTCTCTCTCTCTTTCTCTCTCTCTCACACACACACACACCTACCTGTGTTCTCCAAGGGGCACAATGCAGGCACCTGTACAGATGCAATGTCCTGGATGAGCCTGAGAACAGAAAGAGAAAAGCTGCCAGGCAGGGGAAATGACTGACGCTCCCTCCTGCCTGCAGCCAGCCTAATGCCCACCAGGGGGTGCTCCATCTCAAACCTGATCCTCCCAGGGCTTCCAAGAGGCACCCGCAAACCGTCTGCAGACAGAGGCCCTGGGCCATTCCCAGGGTGCCCTCGCTGGCAGCCCGGCTCTGGACAGGCAGGCAAAACATTCAGATCCTCCCTAGATCACTTACCCAGCCTGGCTGTGGTGGTCCCAGCAAGCCTCCAGCTGCCTGTTCCAGGCACAGGCCGGATCCCTGGAAAGGATACAGTCCTGGCAGGTCTTATATGTGGCACAGCTGGAAGTGTTGACCTGGGTCACTTCTGTGTCAGATGCTACGTACAGCCAGTTCTGTGGGAAGGTAAGACATGGACACAAGGCCGGTCGGGGGGAAGGTCCAACTGATGACCCCTTCCCAGAAGTTTGGGCGAGGAGAGGGGTGCTGGGGTGGGACCGGCTGCTTTCTGCATCCCACCATTGCCACAGCTGTCAGGGCATCTGCTGCTCCCTCTTCCGTTGGCATGAGTTGGGAGAATCTCTTGTGGGGGTGGGGTGGCCTCAGAGGATCCCTTCAGGCCAGTCTGGGTATCTGGGTGGTGGTGGTTTTGAAATCAGGGCAGCGTCCTGAGGACAGATGTGAGGAAGAGGGCGAGGACATTCCTATCCCTGCTGGTGGGTCGCCTCGCCTCCCCTTGGCCATGGAAGATTCCCCCCCCATCTCGCTATCGTGAAAGTGGGAACTCTGTCAGATGTGGGGGGAGAGGCCGAGGGGGAGAAGGAGTGAGGACCCCTAAAGGAGGATAAGAGGGAGGGAGGCTCCAGAGAGGGGAAAGGAGGAGGAGGAGGAGGAAGAGAGAAGGGAGACAGCAGCCAAGGAGAAAGGTGAGGTCTGGAGGGACACTACGGAAGAAATGGAAGTCAAAGGAGGTCAGGTGGATATGAAAGCCCTGAAAGGGATGTAACCACAAGTGGACTGGAAGAAATTGGAACTTTTTATGCGAGTATCCAGGAGAAAATTGATCACGTATCAAAACAAGACACGCTGATAACCATGCATTTTGAACAATATACTGTAGATGGTGCAGACTTGTGATTTGCTGGTAATGTGTTAGGAAATCAAACCACAGCTAACTTGATTTACAGATTCTTACATTTTTAAGAGGTCAGTGCATGCAGAATGGATGGCCTCGGTGAGGTTCTTTTCTATCACATGGTCAGGGTAGCCCTCATCTCTTAACTGGCTTCTTAATGGCTTTGATTCATGAAAAACATCCTTTTTTTCTGCTGCAGTTTTTTTTATTTCTTAGAAACTGCTCATATGGCAAATGACATCTTAGTGATCTGGAGCGAGAGCAAGCAAATCTAAGGTATGTCTTGTGATCAGATGGTTTCCTGTGTATAATTTACCTCCTCCATTTTTTTTACAGTCAGATCTAAAAAAATGTATTTCTTTATAGAGTTTATCCACCAGAAAAAAAACTTGTTAGATCTCCTTCATTCCCCCTTCACCTTGCAAACACACCCTCTATTTCATGAAAAACAACCATTCTGCAAAGGATTTTACAGAATCTGGGCCCACAGGGAACTCTGCGACACAACTTGGACACATGGTTTCAAGTTGCGAGTCGAGACCCAAGTCCCCCCACCTGGAAAAAAACCCTGAGTCAAGTCCAAGTCAAGTTGCTGGTGTGACTCAAGTCCAACTCGACAGGGACTGGCAAGTCTCAAGTCCCCATCCTGGTTAATCAGAGTGACCCTGGACAACAGCTGTGCCAGGTAACACCCATAAATGTGGGATCTTTCTCCCACTGTGTCCTAACTGGACCTGAGTACAGAGCAAAGCAAGGAAGAAGATTAAAGAAAGATCAAAAATCAAGAATATGTATAAAATATAGTGACTATATTTGTTAACTAAAAGTAATAATACGCTGGATGAATCTTCTTATTTTGAATAATGTACCATACATTAAAATTCCAGATGGTTGTTCCCAAGGCCACGTGAAAATGGCAATAATGTGTTGTTGCTTTGTACATCCCCCTAAACTCAGCCCAAAATTCATTGGGCACTTTCAGACTGAAATAAAGTGATGCATAACATCCTGAGACTGGTCTCTCCTTTACAATTGATAACCACAGGTGACTGGAATGCAAGAGTAGAAAACATAGCAGACTCCAACAATGCTGGAGAACTGGGCACAAGGGTCTGAATTCAGGAAAGTATCTCCTTGCTTCCGTAAAGCTAGCAGCTACTTCAGTGAAACCAACAATTACTTTCTAGCAAATGGAATTATAACTTTAGGCAGCCTAACAGATGCTCGCACATGTGGATGTCACCAGATGGCTATTACAGAAAGCTGATAGACTATACACCTGGAAGCAGATGACAGAGAAGCTCTATTCTTTCTGGCTACTAGAGCAGGCCAAAGACTAGCTGAAGAAAACCAGTTTGTGCTTTGTTAATTGCAGTAAAGCCATCAACTGTATGGCTCAGGAAGAGCCATGAATCAGTCTAAAGGAGAGGGATGTGCCACATGTCTTGATGAGTAACTTGTCCTTGGAAAGGAAGCTATCTTTAAGATGGAAAACATTATCAGTAAAGGTATCACATAAGGATGCCTTTCAGTCTATAGGCACAATGTATAGTACAAAAAAATGGATCAGATTCAAAGGAAGGAGGAGTGGAAGTGAATGGAAGATACATGCAGTTTAAGATAGACAGACACACACACCCCACTGCCAGAGGGAAACAACAATGACTTCAAACAGCAACTGGAGTAGGTGGGTGGGTCAAAAGCAGCTGCATATTGTGAAGACAAAAATCATGTCTACCAAAGAATTATATAATGTTAATGTTGTCAGAGAAGAAATCAAAGCTGTTAAAAGGTTTCCTATACAGTGGTGCCTCGCATTACGACGTTAATTCGTTCCAGCGAAATTGTTGTAGAACAAAAACGTTGTAATGTGAAAATAAAAAGCCCATTGAAACGCATTAAAACCCGTTTAATGTGTTCCAATGGGCTGGAAACTCACCATCCAGTGAAGATCCTCCATAGGGCGGCCATTTTCGGTGCCTGTGCGGCGAGGACTCCGTCCCAGAAAACAGCGGGGAGCCATTTTATTTACCCGGCGGCCATTTTTAAACCGCCGATCAGCTGGAGGAAAATCGTCATTTTGCAAAGAATCTGTTCCTGAAGCAGGGAGCCGATCATCGCAAAGTGAAAAAACCTCATTCAGACCATCGTTTTGCAATCGCAATTGCAATCGCAAAAAGATCATCGTAATGCGGTTTTGTCGTAATGCGGGGCAATCGTAATGCGAGGCACCACTGTAGTTTGGTTCAGTCATCAGACCAAATGCAGACTTCAGCCAAGAAATCAGAAAAAGGGCACCTATTTAGAAAAGTGGCTATCCAAGAACTGGATAAGATCCTTAGTTAGAAAGCCAAGACCAAAAGGACTCACACGGTGTGCAGTATTTCTGACCTGACCCAGGCTGTCAATGACAGGATCTTCTGGAATTTACAAATTCATAAAGTCATCTTAAGTTGGAAGCAACATGACAGCTCATAACAACAGCAATGAATGACAGCAGGCCATTCATGCCTTTTCCCGCTGTCTTCTCTTTGAGAAGTCATGGATCCCAAAAAGGCCCTCCCCTCTCATTGGCCAACCACCAGACCTGCTTAGGGGCATGGGTGACCCCATGTGAAAAAAAATCTAGGCCTCTTTATAGACTGTAGCAAAAAAATAACAGATGCAATACTTAGTTGTTATCCACGAAAATCTACTGCCTAGAAAAAGGGAACTACAGTAATAGTGTCCCTCTGGTTCTGCTTTGTGCAGACCTCACCTCCAAGACTAGATCCATTTCGGGCACCTCCGTTTAAGAGGGATATGAGCAAGTGGGAATATGTCCAGAGAAAGGCAAATTAGAAAGAAGCAGGCAGACAGACAGACAGACAGGCAGGCAGGCAGGCAGGCAGGCAGGCAGGCAGGCAGGCAGGCAGGCAGGCAGGCAGGCAGGCAGACAGACAGATCTGGAAACCAAGCCCTATGAGGACCAGTTGGGGGGCTGTGTGTCTTTAATCTCGATAAGAAAAGGCCAAGCGGCAACAGAATAACGGTCTTGTGCTATCCAGAGGACTGTGAAGGGGAAGAGGAGACCAGCTTGTTTTCTGTGGCTCAAGAGGAAAAGACCTGAAATAACTGATCCAAAGAGCAAGGAGGAGATTTCAGGTAAACATTAGGTAGTTTCTTGCCAAGAGCTTTTTGTGAATAAAACTGAATACCAGAGGTGATGATGGATGCAGCTTCACTGGATGTTTCTAATCCGGGTTAGGTGGCCTCAGATTCCCGGCTTCCGTCAGGGCCTGGACTCACTGACCTCTGGGCTTCCCCCTCCAGCTCTCGAGAGCTACCACTCCCCAAGGAAGCCAAAGCCTCCTTCCTCAAGGAGATGGGTGGGGAGAAGCCCCAGGGTCAGCAGGCCACCCTTTCCTCCTCCAGACCGTCCTTAAAGGGGGGGGGAGTTTTCAGGGCAAGAAGAAGCCACCTCCGCAGCCCAGCCAGCCTCCTGGGAACTGTCTCACCTGGTGGAGCTTCAGGTGGCGGACGGGCTGAGGTGTTGCAAAGAGCACGAGGTCCTCGAGGAGGGACAGCCGAGGCCCGATCTTCACAGCTTTGTGCAGGTGGCCGTTCTCTGGGGGAGCAGAAAAGCAGGTCGGGCTCTGCTCTTAGGCCGCCCTTTCTGTCCGGCCAGCTGCCCCAGGGCACCCCAGTCCCACCCATCAGGGAGAGTGCCACCCTGGCCCTCTTTGCTTTGCTTTGGGGGGGGTCTCCCTCTGCCCCCTCACCTGTGCCCAGGTACAAAACAGGGTGTTCCTGTCCAGAGAGGGCCTTGACTCGGTGAACAGCCAGGCGTTGGTAGCTGGTGCCAGGCACTACCAGCAGTGGGCTGCGGTCCAGCGGGTAGACGAGCTCATCCATCAGTGGGTGGTCACGAATGAAAGTCAGGACACGGTCTGGGAGGGCCAGCGAGGAGCTGATGCCTTCGGTCTTCAAGCTGCTGGTGATGCACTGTGGTGGTGGGGGGGAGAGACAGGCCGCTCTGAGGGCAGGACCTCCCCAGGCCTTGAGAAGTGAGCCATGGCCTCCCAAGAGAGGGACCTTCACGGAGCGATCCGTCCAGAAAAAGGGTCCTCTGGCCCTCGGGACACCCGCCCTCCCTGCTGGCCCAAAGGGAGTGGGCACTCAGTGGGCTGCAGATCTGGGATCTGGCCCAAGTAGCACCCGTACCCCCTGCCGCTGCCCTCCCCTGGAATCATGGCAGGAGAAAGGGGTTCAGCTCAAGGGGGGGGCACTTCCTTCAAGGGACAGGCACCACTTACTGCCCCTGGGCGTGGGTCAGGAACGTCCCCTGGCAGGACGCTGGTCCACTTGTCACAGTCCCTCCGGAACTCCTTGAAGCGGCCGCCCATGGCTCTCTGGATCTCCTGCGCGCTGTAGGCACAGATGGCGGAGCTGCTCCCCTCTCTCCTGCAAGGGGGCAGGAGTAGGTCTTGTTCAGCAGGGGCTGGGAAAGCAAGGGCCCCCTTGCCTCCTCTGGACTAGCCCGAGGGCACCCCCTCCCAGTCGCCGGCGGAAGCCACCTGGGGACAGCTCAGGGGCCCTGGCCATCCTCCCAGCCAGATCTACCCTGCAAAAAAAAGAGAGGGGGGCCTCCGCCCCGCCCCCAAAGCCCCCTCTCCCCCCAAAGCCAGCTCTGCCATCCCAATAGCTGTTCTCTCTGGGCGTTCTTCTCACAGAAGCCAAGAGAAAGCTGGACGGCTTATTGGGGTTTGGGGTTCTTTTTTTTTTTTAAGAGAGTTTTATATTAAGAATTCAGTTACTCCTGTTTTGGCAGCGCACAAGGTCCCTTCTTTCCTGCCCCTCTGGTGAGAAAAGGGGGGGCACACGGCCACTCGCCCCTCCAGGGGGCCTTTCGTTTTGCTGGGTGGGAACGGGGGTCTGAGCTGTCCCACTCGAGAGCTATGCCCCCCTGAACAGCCCCCTGAGACCCTCACCCACGCGGTCACACCCGGCAGGATGGCTCCTGGCCCACTCTCACCCTTGGGCTACAAAGGCCCCGTAGAAGACGGTGGCGTTCCCGTGGTCCGAGGGCAAGGGGGCCACGTCCTTCAAAATGTTGAAGACGGTGCCACTCTCAGGATCCGAGCAGACCAGCTGGGCCTTCAGGAAGGTGGTCCACCTCTTCTGCAGAGTCTTCTGGCCCCCCAGGTCTCCCTAGAAACAGGCGGTTGGTGGCAAGTGATGTGGGGGGGGACTCCGAGCAGAAGGGGCACCCACAGGACCTGACTGCACACCCCGACCCCAACACGCACCCCTACACAAAGATGCCAAGGAGTGAAGGAGTCTTGGTCGCGGAAGTGGCTGGCCATGCGCAATAAGGAGCGAAACAGCAGCCCCCTCCCTCCCTCAAAAATATTCTGGAAGAGGCCAGAGTAGCAGCACTCTCTCTCTCTCTCTCTCTCTGTATGCGTGTGAGAGGCAATCACCACTCCAGACACTTTTAGGGTCTCTTGGCTGAGTCCCACTTCATCCCCCCTTTCCTACCTTGCAGACGCGAGCAACTCGGGCCACCTTGACTTTTTCATAGTAGTCGTATTCACGAGCTGTTTCCGTAAAGAAGAAGTAGATCTTGTCCTCTTCCCCCCTCTCGCCCTCCCGCAGAAACGCTGAGGCCACAAACTCAGGATCTGGACAGAGACAGGGAGAGGGTAGACATCCCATCGAGGCCCTCCCCAGCTCCCCGCCCCCCCGAAATGCCCCCACAGGCCCTCTTGCCCAGCCCTCTTGGCCAGGCCTGCGGCTGCCCACTCACCATTCAGCCACGTCACGGAATTCTCAGTCCGGATGGCCTCCCCGTGGCTCCCCGTGGCTCTGGCAATGATGGGCTCTGTCCCGAGGAAATTGCTCACTGTGGCCACGTACAGGGCTCCATCTAAAAGGCAAGAGGCATGGAGGGTGGCCGAGGCAGGACCCCCCTCGCTCAGAGGCAAAAGGCTGGAGCCTCCCCCACAGGGGCGCTTGCCAGCAGCCGCCTGCCGGCACGATCCCTTTGGCCGCCACTACCGAGGGCAGCAGATCCCAGTGGCACGTCGTGGAAGAGACACGCCACCCTCGACCAGTCACGGCGCTGTGTGAAAAAGCCAGCAGCACCCCGGGCCCTGGCGAGCCTGGATGCTGTATGCTGGGGGGGGGGGCACCAGCAAGGAGGCCCGGCCAAGTGCAGGTGGACAGGCTGCGATCCGAAGAGGGGATCTCCCCACAAACAGAACCTGTGAAAGGGAGCCCCCCCCTCTGAAGGCAGCTGCTTGAAAATGGATTTCCTGTGAGGGGGGCATACCTCTAATCAGCCCCCTTTCTCCAGACTCGAGAGCTGCTTGCTACAGCCTCCCCCAGTGAGGCAAAACAAAGCCTGGCCTAGGCCAAGATACACGCACACATCCCAACCTCCGCAGGGCAAAGAGAGGCTCTCATTGCATGTTACACAAGGAAGGACCTTTCTCCTCAGACAAGCTTTCTTTTAACGACTGGGTGCCCGAGTTGGATTTTTAAATAGATGGTTGTGCCTTCCTGCTTTGAATGTGTTTTTGGTGTTGCTTTTGTTTATTGTCTTTTAGTGGTGCACTTCTAACGGCGCGCAAAATTCTCTGATTCTGTTTTTTTTTCTCCTCAGACAAGCTTTCTTTTAACGACTGGGTGCCCGAGTTGGATTTTTAAATAGATGGTTGTGCCTTCCTGCTTTGAATGTGTTTTTGGTGTTGCTTTTGTTTATTGTCTTTTAGTGGTGCACTTCTAACGGCGCGCAAAATTCTCTGATTCTGTTTTTTAATCTAATCTGGTAAATAGGAAAGCCAAATACATCCGGGGGGGGGGGGGAGGAAAGTTTTAGGGGTAGGCTCAGACTTCCTCCCTTTTTAAATTCACTGACCAATCAGTTGAGATGGAGAATGCAGGATCTGTTGCACTTGTGACACCTGTGGCATGTTTGTTTTCTTGCCAACAAGATGCCGGGGTAGAAATGCTCTAAGTGTTAGTTGGTGGTCCTCTTGGAAGACAAGGTCCAGCAGCTGGAGGCCTATGTTCTAATCTCCGCACTCTTAGGGGGCAGGCCGGGTAGGTGGGGTTCGTCAACCTTGGAAGGCAGCCCATCTAGGAGAAGGAAAACTCTGATTTCAAACCTCCACTGCCTCGTGGCTATATCCACTGATGGAAAAGGCTTCAGGAGTTAACCTCGAGGTAAAATCCGGAGCCGGTGTCCCGGAGGCAGTTCGTGTTGTTCTGGCAACTCCTGTGATGTTGCTGGAACTAGTTGTATTGGCTCTTGCCTTTCCATTGGACTACTTTAGCGATGTGGAGAGGGGGGGATCTGCTGCTTGGGTAACAGCCTATCCTGCATATTAATTTGCCCAGGCTTTGTGCTCTGGAGAAGGACACTCCAGCTTCACATACAGTGTCAAAACAACATGGGAAGTAGCAGTTAGCAGTTATAAGTCTTTACTCAATTGGCATAGAGCATGATGCCAAGAGCTACTTCCAACAGTGGGAGAGGTCATTGCACCTCACTAGGTAGCTACCACCTGCCTTAAGCTGGGCAGCCCCAGCCAGTAAGGTGCTACTGCACCATGATCTGTTAACCTCATGGGGTGCATGGGGTTTAGGGTGAAAGCCGACAAGCAGATCGATAACCCTGCACCATGCAATGATCGTAAGAAAACTTCTGCCCTAAAGTTGGGTACCTGGAATGTTCAGACCATGACCCTTGGCTTTGATGACATGCAGGAAATAGATGACGCATGCAAGACAGCTGTCATAGACATGGAACTGAGTAAACTGCGGATGGACATTGTTGCCCTGCAAGAAACGAGATTGCCAGACATGGGATCTGTCAAAGAAAAAAACTTCTCATTCTTCTGGCAGGGAAAACCATCGAATGAGACCAGGGAACATGGTGTTGGCTTTGTAGTCAGAAATACTCTCCTGAGATCCATCATTCCACCTACTGTGGGGAGTGAAAGAATCCTTTCTCTGCAGCTCCACTCATCAGCGGGACCGGTCACCCTCATCAGTGCATATGCACCAACACTGTCGTCCACA